AACCTCCAGGGCCTTTTTCTTCAGGAACCTGTTGGAGTAGCCCCTACAGGACACTCATGGAGCCAAATGGCTTTGGCACTAGCAGGGAAGCCTCAGTATTCCCAATGGGAGATTACAACGTGCTGCATTTCACCTACACGATGGGTGCCTTCCTTCTTTCCCCACCCTTGCACACGAGGCAGAACTTGTCACAGGCTGCACCTCCTTTACCCCTGCTATTGCATTTAACCCAGAAAAGAGACCGCATTTCCTCCTAGCCAGAAGTTCATTCAAAAGGGCAGGGTCCTTGTTGCATACGACATGGGTATAATACCTCAAGGGTGACCAGCTCCTGCTCCCGAGGGTGAGCAACAACCCTGGAATTGAGGTGAATTTCTGGAAAGGGAAGGAGCTAGGAAATAAGAGATCTCCCCTGATCTGTTCCCAATTCACAGCTCTGGAGAGGAGAGAGAGACCAACCACAAGGATATCACGTTAAGTTGTGGGGCTTGAGTAACAAGGAATCTGTCACCAAGCTAGGGAAGTAGTTGATATGCTGGAGGGTAGGGCGAGGATTCAGAGTGACCTCGACAAATTAGAGAATTCGGCTGAAAGAAATCTCATGAGGTTCAACAAGGACAAGGGCAGAGTCCTGCATTTAGATGGAAAAATCCCATGCACCGGTGCAGGCTGCAAGGGACTGGCTGGGCAGCAGCTCTACAGAAAAGGACCTGGGGGTGACAGGGGACAAGAAGCTGAATATGGGCCAGCAGTTTGCCCTTGTTGCCAAGAAGGCTAACGGCATCCTGGGCTGCACTGGTGGCTGTGTTGGCAGTAGGTCATTTATTCCCCTCTATTCAGCACTGGTGAGGCCACATTTGGAGTCCTGTGTTCAGTTTTGGGCCCCCTCCTGCAGAAAGGATGTGGACAAACTGGAGAGTCCAGCACAGGGAAACAAAAATATTGAGGGTCCTGGGGGACATGACTTGTGAGGACAGCCTGAAGGAACTGAGCTCATTTAGTCTGGAGAAAAGGAGACTGAGAGAGGACATAATAGCTGCCATCAAGTACCTGAAGGGGGGTTCAACAGAGGATAGCACTAGATTGTTCTCAGTGGAGCTAGATGATAGAACAAGGAGCAATGGTCTCAATTTGCAGGAAGGGAAGTTTAGCTTAAATGTTAGGAAGAATGTGTTACACTATGAGGGTATTAAAACACTGGAACAGGTAACTCAGAGAGGTTATGCAATCTCCATCCTTGGCTGGGATAATCTAGTTGGGGATGGTCCCGCTTGGAGCAGGCAGTTGGACTAGATGACTTCTGGAGGTCCCTTCTACCCCTAATTTTCTACGAGTCTATGAAGGAGAGGAGGGGGCAGCTGGCACCTGGTGTCGCAAAGCTCTGACAAGGGGCTGAGCAGCGAAATCCACCACAGTGGGCTCACGGGGTGGCAGAAGAGGCTTCTTGCAGACTCTGATGCGAATATGCAGGCCTGGGAGAGGGGAGATGTGCTAGGAAGGAAAGGCAAGATCAGGGTTGCTTAGAGCAAGGAATGCTTCCCCAGACATCAGTGTCCTCCTTCCTGCAACTCAAGAACCTAACATACCAAACCCTGGGACCAAGAGGGAGGACAAAGCTGGGATTCAGCCAAAGAAAGCACCGGATGTCATTTGGATCTAGTTGGGAAGAGCATCCTATTTTGAAGGCAATTCTTCTCTGCCTGGAAGCACTGACTACTTTTAGAGAACAACGGGGATGGCACAGGCTCCAAGGCTGATGCGAAGATCATCTCTTCACAGGTTCCCCCAGCATCAGGGCTGCCCTCTGCCTGCAGTGTTTCCATTTAACCCCATCCCCTCAGCAAACCTGAGAGGTCAGCCTCTGTGTCCTTTGGGCTCTGCAGTGCCCTAGAAAGGCTGAATGAAAGGTCAATTGTTGCTGCACTGCACCAGTGTGAGACTGCTTCCCTGTATGTAGACACTGGTGAGTGCTGAGCAGGTATACTTCCTCAAATCCTTCCTGTATTGCTGGCAGAACTATGGACACACCTGGACAGGCATGCACTGGTGCAAGGCCAGTTTGAAGGAGTGGAGGAAGCACTTCCCACACTCTGAGCACTAATGTAATTTCTCCCCTGTGTGGACACGTTGGTGCCGTGTTAGGTTGGAGGACTGGATGAAGCTCTTCCCACACTCAGTGCACTGATGTGGCTTCTCTCCTGTGTGGACACGTTGGTGCCTGGTCAGAATGGAGGATTGGGTGAAGCTCTTCCCACACTCGGTGCACTGATATGGCTTCTCCCCTGTATGGATGCGCTGGTGCTCAGCTAGGCTGGAGGAATGAGTGAAGCTCTTCCCGCACTCTGAACACCGATACGGCTTCTCCCCTGTATGGATGCGCTGGTGCTGAGCCAGCCTGAAGGAACGACTGAAGCTCTTCCCACACTCCGAGCACTGATATGGCTTCTCCCCTGTGTGGATGCGCTGGTGCTCAGCCAGGCGGGAGGCTTGAGTGAAGGTCTTCCCGCACTCTAAGCACTGATGTGGCTTCTCCCTTGTGTGGATACTACGATGGTGCTGAGCCAGGCTGGAGGACTGAGCGAAGCTCTTCCCACACTCCATGCATTGATGTGGCTTCTCCCCTGTGTGGATGCGTTGGTGCTGGGTTAAGCTGGAGAAGCAGGTGAAGCTCTTCCCACACTCTGAGCATCGATTAAGTTTTTCCCTTGTGTGGATACGCTGGTGCTGAGCCAGGCTAGAGGAGTGAATGAAGCTCTTCCCACACTTTGAGCATGTGTATGGCTTCTCCCCTGTGTGGATATGCTGGTGCTGAGCCAGGCTTGAGGATCGGGTGAAACTCTTCCCGCACTCCGAGCACTGATATGGTTTCTCTTCTGTGTGGACAAGTTGGTGCCGGGCCAGGCTGGAGCACCAGGGGAAGCTCTTCCCACACTCTGAGCATCGATGTGATTTCTCCCCTGTGTGGATGAGCTGGTGCTGGGCCAACGTGGAGGAGTAGGTGAAGCTCCTCCCACACTTGGAGCACTGATATGGGTTCCACCCTGGGTGGATACGCTGGTGCCGAGCTAGGCTGGAGGATTGAGTGAAGCTCTTCCCACACTCTAAGCACTGATGTGGCTTCTCCCCTGTGTGGATGCGCTGGTGCCGAGCCAGGCTGGAGGAATGATTGAAGCTCTTCCCACACTCTAAGCACCGATGTGGCTTCTCTCCTGTGTGGATACACTGGTGCCGAGCCAGCCTGGAAGAAGGAGTGAAGCTCTTTGCACGCTTCAAGCGCTGATGTGGTTTCTCCCCTGTGTGGATACGCTGGTGCCGAGCCAGGCTGGAGGAATGAGTGAAGCTCTTTCCACACTTCGAACACTTATGTGGCTTCTCCCTTGTGTGCAGGTACCAGTGCCTGATGAGGTTGGAGGAATGCCTGAATCTCTTCATAGGCTTGGTGCTATGGTGTGGCTTCTCCGCCATCTGCACACACTGGTGTTGGGACTGGTCTTGCCGGCAGATGAAGTTCTTCTTGCACTCAGTGCAGTGGTGTGTCTTCCTCTCCAGGTGGATGCACCAGTGCTGAGACAGGGAGAAGAAATGGGTGAAGGCCTTTTACACAGCAGTGCTGATGCTTTCCCCTCCGCACGTGTAGGTACTTGACCAGGTCTGTGGGGCACACAAAGCTTTAAGCCCATTTGGTGCAGCAGTGGGGGAGTTCTCCAGAATGGGTCTGAGAGTGAACAGCCAGGGTGGAGAGGCACGTGATGCTCTTCCCACACTTGGCGCATACATGGGGTTTCTCCCCAGTGTAGCTTATCTTATGAAAAGCCAGGAGTGATGGGCACTTAAAGGCTTTCCTGACCTTCAAGCAGGGGTGAGCTCTGCCCTTGTGCTTGGCAGGGAGCTCCTGCTTCCCTCCAAGGCCCTTCCCAATGCCTTGGCTGGGATGCAGTGGATCTTCCCAGCAGCTCTTTAGGTCTCTCAGCTCCACAAAGTGTTCCCTGCACCCAGGGCTCTGTCTGTCTGTCCCTTCTCCACTCTCACGCTCAACTGGAGATGGTACCTGGTTCATCGCTCTGTTCTCCTTCTGCTTTTGAGGCCTCCCCTGACTCTTGTGCCATGGCTGCTTCTCAAGTCTCAGGGAGTCCATCTTGCCCAAACTCCCTAGGAAAGTCCAGGCTGGCTCCAGGTTGGCAGGCCCTTCTGCAGGACGCTGCTCTTTAGTTCTGCTCAGCAGGCAAGCACCTCCTGCATGGGGAAGAGAAACACCAGATTACCGCCCACCCTGTAGGCAAAGGGCAAACACTGGTAATTCTTCTGCTGGGATGGGGCCCTGAGCAGGCCTGGACCTTGGCAGTTGTGTTCCCTCAAGAAAACAAGGTCTTCCTGCCAAAACCCCAAGTGCTGGGGGTGAAGGAGGGGCAGTTCCCTGTGTTGGGCTCAGGTTCCCTATTCATAGTTTCATAGTTGGTAGGGTCAGAAGGGACCTGAGCAGATCATCAAGTCCAACTCCGTCACGGCAGGAAAGAGCACTGGGGTCGAACGACCCCAGCAACGTGTTCGTCTAGCCTCCTCTTAAAGTTCCCCAGGGTAGGAGCCAGCACCACTTCTCTTGGAAGTTGGTTCCAGATCCTAGCCGCCCTGACAGTGAGGTAGCGCCTCCTGATATCTAG